TATATATATATTTATATGGCAGTGGTAGCACTGCTTCCTTCCTTGCAGCAAAAAAAAAGGTTCCAGGTTCGATTCCCGGGTTAGGTTCCCGGGGTCTTTCTGCATGGCGTCTGCATGTTCTCCCTGAGCATGCGTGGGTTCTCTCCGGGTACTCCGGCTTCCTCCCACAGTCCAAAAACATGACTGTTAGGTTAATTGGCTTCTCTAAATGAGCGTCAGTGTGTGACTGGTTGTTCTTCTCTGTGTTGCTCTGCGATGGACTGCCGACTTCTCCCCGGTGGTTAATAATCTATGTCACTGATTTACAATCAGGGTTAAAAACATCTGACTCTTGTTTACATAGTTCAGTTGGTAGAAAATATTTACCACTTTCCTTAAAGCTAGAGGTTTAAATTACTTAGGAGAAGAAAAAAAAACAACTCCTTCCAACAGAAGAGTAATAACCGTAAGGAAGATGGAGAAGGCTTAGAGAGGGATCCTCATTTCTCCTAAAGTGTTTCTAACTTTACACTTTGATCACAGTAGGTTATAACTACGCTGGCGTTACACTGTCCATCATCTTAATGAGTTTGACAGCATGGATGGATGGATGGATGAGCATCACTGCTCCACTGCTACAGCAACTAATCCAGGACCTAAATGTTGCCGCCCAGAGCCGATGGACGTCCTGCTGACATCAACTGACTGTAAACAGATTTATATGGTCGATAAAAACAGATCATTTCTTAATACATTTCGTGATTTTGCTGAAATGTCTCCAGGCCTGTTTGCTGATGTGCTAAACATGAGTTAGAAACTCATCTGCTGATGAAGTTCTGACTTGGCGAACATTTACCTTACATGACCGAACAATCCCAGTCCGGCCGATAGCGACACATTCCTGGAAACCTTCCTGCATTTTTCTGACATTTATGCTCCGTGCTAGTTTGCATGCTTTTCTCTCCTATCTATTACAACAATTCCTAACATGAACGCCTTATACCAGTAGCTGAAAACTCCAGCTAATGTTTTGATTTTTTTTTTGTTTATATAATAAATGCATTTTTATATATAACATAAAAAGTATTTAAGCAAAGTCAACAAATGTAGCTGCTTTTTTGATTGTCGCTAAGTCATTTCCTTCCTGAATGAACCTGAGTGATTTTAAATCACCGACTGGGTGCTGAGAAAAGAGAAATATTTAAAAGGAGGAATTTTCAATATTTCAAAGTGGGAATTGCTGGATGTATTTGTCAGTCCTATCAGAGAGCGGACTTTAATGACTGCTTTCTGTGCTTCATGCTCAATCTGAGGAGTTTGCCTCATAGTTTACAGTTGCTGTGCAGTGAGTATATCCTTTATGTATTGAAGTGAAAATTATTTATTATGGTTTGGAGAAAAAAAAACTGCATACCTGCAGGTTAAAGTTCCTGGGATCATAATGCAAAATATTTCTGATGTAATTCAGGAGGCAGGAAGTTAGAATATATGAGAAATACCAATATAAACAGATTAACTCTATTAGACTATAGAGGAAAAATGATAATAATAATTGAACTTTATTGATTTCACATTGGAGAAATGTATCCCTGCATTTAACCCCTCCCCCTGGGGAGCAGAGGGCTGCCACTGTGTGGCGCCCGGGGAGCGGGGGGGTTAAGGGTTTTGCTCAGGGTCCCAGAGTGGAAACTGAGCCAAACCGTAGAGGAAAAATGGATAAATGATATTTTACATCAACAAAAAGGACCAATGACCTCAAGTTTCAGGCAGGAACCTTCATCAAGCTGCACTACAAAAAACATCCAGTTTAAAAGTCATCTATCCACTAATGTCTTCTATTGCCGAGCATTTTGTAAATGATGTAATATAAAAGGTAATAATGACAATATTTAGTATTTTATTGCTGTTGTATATTTATTGTACCACAAAGGGGAAGTTGTGGTGTTACAGCAGCAAAAGCAGGACAGCAGAAGTGAACAGAAGAAAAAGTCATCAATATACGGCTGTGGAAATGATTACCATGCAGAATATTATCAGCATAGTTTAGACTGTAAATTGTTGATATTTATTTCCAAAAACCAGGAAGAAAACTCAACAGAGCAGCAAGTAGCTTTACAACAGGTCACCTCATTCATTTTATTTTTGTTTCCTCACGTTGAAACAACTGGTCCTCAATTTGATGGTGAAATTGGGAAAAATGGTCCTCACTGTGAGGGCTAGACAGGTACACCCACACACCCAGCTGATTGTCCTCTTCATTAGGATGACATGAGCGAGACCTTATCCTCACGCTGCAGCTAATTACCCCACACAGAAGGTCACCTACCTACTGACTGCCCCACATAAGCCTCAATTATTTCATTCTGGGCGCATGAAGAACTCATCAGATCTTCCTGCTCCTTCTCTTCTCCTCTGAACTATTGTTTGATTTTAGCAGGTAGAGTTCTGGTTTGATGGAGCTGTTGGTTGGTGATCTGTGAAATGCTACAACTATCGTGCATTAGTGGCCAGACTGATGCAGCTTCAGCTGCGGTGGAGGTTCAGTCCTCTGCCAGCTTCACGCTGCGAGCAGACAGAGGGAGGCTGTGAGGGGGGGGGGCGGCGGCGGAGAGGAAGGAACCTTCTCAGAAACATCACCAAATGCAGAGGCTGAAACCTGCCTGATTGAACCAGTTTCCAAGCCCTCTGCTCCATGTTGCCTCTTTATGCATATCAAGGCCATCCATGAATACGCCGCGCTGCGTGTTTTTATGCACCTTTCTGTCAGCTGTGTGGGAGTTTGTTAATTCATGACCCAGGGCAAAAAATAAAATAAAAAAAGTCATATTCACCGTTATTTGAAGACTGCAAGGTTGATGAGATTGAGTGTTGCATTTGGCGAGGACGCCTCTTTATTTAGCATGCAGATACTTGTTTATGCAAACATGTTAGCTCCGTTCCACGTCCCCTCTGACCCTGGTTTGTCTTCGCTCCTGTACAGCCGCCCATTATCTCTGCATTGTCTCCACTGAAGAGGAAAAGCCATTTGCTGCAGCGCGCCTGCACACGTCTGTGTTTTTCTAGCAGAGCCTTTTGATCGACGTTCAGGAGGCTCGCCGTCGAATCTCGTTATCAACAAACGTTCACAGCATCTCATGAAGCCAGGAGGGAAGAAAAAAACTGCATCGGAGCAGATTTGGAAAATGTTTAAATCAATTCCCATT